GTATTGGCTGGCCTCAATGCTGGTATTGGCTCAGCTCAATGCTGGTATTGGCTCAGCTCAATGCTGGTATTTGCTGGTCTCAATGCTGGTATTGGCTGGCCTCAATGCTGGTATTGGCTGGCTTCAATGCTGGTATTGGCTGGCCTCAATGCTGGTATGGGCTGGCCTTATTGTCACTATGGTCTAGTGTCAATGTCATTCTTGGTGATAAGGTTTACAAAATCAGGAGTGACTCAGAGGTGCCAAGCTGAAGATCTCTGGGCATCTCAAAAGCATGCATAGTGATTTTGAGTATACCTTTTACTTTTTGGGCAAAATACTTTTTCTTTTGCTCAGGCAGGTATATACGACATATTCAATATACATATTTTATATCTACAATCTCCAGCCAGCAAATGGAGCTCTTGGCTCTTCTTGCAGTAAACCTCTATGGCTGCACCTCCTGCTAATAACCAGACAATTGTTAGCTCTGCAGGTCTCAGATAAGGGCTGTGACCTCAAACAGTCATCTTATCTTCCAAAGTAACATCTTGAATATGCATCCAAGCAAAAAGAAGGGTCAGCAGACCAAACACATTGATAACTGAAAGCCTTTATAGTTTGTCTTCCTCTTTCCATGTCTAGCCGGTGGCAGTGTCCCGGATGCCGCTCTTCCTTTCCTACTTAACGGAAAAGTTGCACTCCCAAGTCCCGGGCAGCCTGGTCCTTTGGTACGACAGTGTGATCCATACCGGAGAACTGCGTTGGCAGAATGAACTTAATGATGAGAACAGGTAAGTCAACTTTTCTCTCTCTCTCTCTCTCTCTCTATATATTCTCTATATGTAATTATTTATTTTGGATCATCCTTTGTTTCCAGTGTCTCCTTTCTTTTTTTTTAAAATCTAAGTGATAAATCTATTGTAAGCCAAAGAAGTAAACACCGGGGTGGCCTTATTTGTATTGTTTTCCAGCAGCCTTTGAAGTGTATGTAAACCTTAACAACAAACTTATCTTATTTGCTCTCTTTTGGTTTGTTAAATATTCCCTTTAATAAAGTGCTGATAGTAGTGGTATTGCTGTACTTTGACCTTTACAATTAATTGCGTTTCTTTATATGCCTATAGACAGTTTTTCGATGCTTGTGATGGAATTTTCACAAACTACAACTGGAACGAGGAGCATTTGCAACGTATGGCGGTAAACCCCCGCAGGTCGGATATCTATGTTGGAGTGGACGTCTTTGGTCGAGGAGACGTTGTTGGAGGGCAGTTTGAAACCTTCAAGGTAAATGCACTTTGTGTGTAAGTGGTACCGTTATAATGATTGTGATTGTCGGAGTATCGCAGACTGAGAGGGATGTTTGATTACAAAGAACCAGACACAGGCATTCTGAGAAAACCTCAAAAGTTAGGCTCCAGCTGTAATTTTTAAGGAGCATTGGCGACCTGGCTCCTGGGATTTGTCCGGCCCTGCTGGACAACAATACAGAGGTCTCACCAATAGAGCCCCGAGTGATAGAAGAGACCCATCACAGAGGTCCCACCAATAGAGCCCCGAGTGATAGAAGAGACCCATCACAGAGGTCCCACCAATAGAGCCCCGAGTGATAGAAGAGACCCATCACAGAGGTCCCACCAATAGAGCCCTGATTGATAAAAGAGACACATCACAGAAGTCTCCCCAATAGAGCCCTGAGTGATAGAAGAGAGTGAGACCCATCACAGAGGCCCCACCAATAGAGCCCTGAGTGATAGAAGAGACCCGTCACAGAGGTCCCACCAATAGAGCCCTGAGTGATAGAAGAGACCCATCACAAAAGTCTCACCAATTGAGCCCTGAGTGATAGAAGAGACCCATCACAGAGGTCTCACCAATAGAGTCCTGATTGATAGAAGAAACCCATCACAAAGGTCTCACCAATAGAGCCCTGAGTGATAGAAGAGACCCATCACGGGGGTCCCACCAATAGATCCCTGAGTGATAGAAGACACCCATCACAGAGTTCTCACCAATAGAGCCCTGAGTGATAGAAGAGAGTGAGACCCATCACAGAGGCCTCACCAATAGAGCCCTGAGTGATAGAAGAGACCCATCACAAAAGTCTCACCAATTGAGCCCTGAGTGATAGAAGAGACCCATCACAAAAGTCTCACCAATTGAGCCCTGAGTGATAGAAGAGACCCATCACAAAAGTCTCACCAATTGAGCCCTGAGTGATAGAAGAGACCCATCACAAAAGTCTCACCAATTGAGCCCTGAGTGATAGAAGAGACCCATCACAAAAGTCTCACCAATTGAGCCCTGAGTGATAGAAGAGACCCGTCACAGAGGTCCCACCAATAGAGCCCTGAGTGATAGAAGAGACCCATCACAAAAGTCTCACCAATTGAGCCCTGAGTGATAGAAGAGACCCATCACAGAGGTCTCACCAATAGAGTCCTGATTGATAGAAGAAACCCATCACAAAGGTCTCACCAATAGAGCCCTGAGTGATAGAAGAGACCCATCACAGAGGTACATACAAAGGCAACACAGGAGTTGTCACCAGCCGCAATCAGTCATGTTCACCTATTAGTTTATAGAAGCGTTAAATGAGAAGTCAGATTGCCTGCTGTCAGCAAAAACTAATTTTTTTCTTCCAGTTTTGATGACTCTTTATGTATCTGCTTCTGTCTGTCAATGTGCCAACAATGGTGCCACTCTAATCCATCTGTGTATATTGTTCTCCAGTCCTTGCAGTTGATCCGTCAGTATGGCTTCTCGGCTGCGCTCTTTGCTCCTGGCTGGGTCTACGAATGTTTCAACAAAGAACAGTTCCTGGAGAACCAGCACAGGTGGGAACGTATTTCTACAGAACGCTCTGTGACTTCGTATTAGACGGCTGTATGAACCCTTAGGGCCCATCACACCAGGGCATTGCGTTAACACACACATTGTTCATTGTGTGTTACCTAAGCAGACCATTCATATAATATATATATA